GAAATTCTCTGTTCTCAAAATGCTGTATGAATGTTCTTCCTTTTTTTGTCGGCGACAGGTGATGTCAGTAGTTTCCTCTCTGACGTGTGTGTTGGGTTAGTTTGGCAGTAGATCTGTTAGACCTCATCATTCCAAGTGATTCAAAATAACGCGAAAAACGACGCAAAATAATGCAATAAATCAAGTAACTGCTGTTTAACACGATTATTTCATAATAAAGAAATGCCGAAGTGTATTTACTTGGAAATTATTTCCATCATGGTTATCATACGGTGCTACTTCGATATACTAGCCAATGTATATCGGCTCTGTGTCGAGTTATCTGCTTAATTCGTTTGTTGTTATAATTGACGATAGAGACGACCGAGGCTGCCTCTTGGAAGAACTCTCCCCTTCTTCAAGGGTAAATTCTCAGACAATTTCTTCACTATGGTACACGACATTAATTTACTTTTCAGAAACGACGGTTGAAACCAATGTACCAAAATAATGCAGGTAGTGGATATAGCATGAGCAATATTATCTCGTCTGTCGATAATGCGCAGTGTGAGCGCCGCTTCGCCTCCCCCCTCTAACACGGCCAGGAGTGTAACCATCTCCGTGCATCGAATGATGACGAGGAGAATGAGGCTTGTCAGGACATAATGCATCTGAACTCTTCATCATGTTACTTAAAAGGGTCATCTGACCTCACCAACATTAATCTCTCGTTTGCCATCAGCAACGCTTTCATCACTGACATCTGTCACTATACACAAGTCATGTTTCATCCCGCCCTTCCCACTATGCTTCGGCCGTCTCACCCCAAGCACGCAAAGTACAGGGGGTCCACTCGGCGCCGGCATCTGATGAAAATCACCAAAGCATCTCGAGTCACCATCCATACCATACCGAGGGGAACTCTTCCGCGGCTGATCTCCTCGCTGGTTGGCTCACTGCAGTCACTTCTTGTTGTAACTCCGCCAACTCGACGATGGGCACGAGCGCTGGTGACAAGTCGTACACCGAAGCCTGACAACCTCACTGCACGGCACTCTACACCGAGCAACCCCTTACAAAATTAGCCTCGCTAGTAGAGGTCCAAGCGGTGAAGTAGATGCCGAGAAAGCAACGTGGGAGCAGGCAGTCCAGGGCCACCCACCCCCGACGCTGAGGAGCCCCATAGACACCGTGAAGAGGAGGAGGATGCTCACCTAGGGCCCTGCCGGGCTTCCTGACGTCGAATAGG